CAGTAGATCATTAATTGTCCAAGTGTCAATTACATCTCGTTCGGGATGTGCCGAACGGAAGTATCTCTTAAGCCACCGAACTCCCGTTCGGGTGATCCATTTCTCCTTGGGTTTTTCCCGTTCTCTGGGCACTAGGGATATTTTGGGCCGGTATTTTGGACCGGACCCTAATATCCCATCACATATCATTGTGATCATGTCATAACGACCAGAGTGACATCTACTATATATGCTTCACAATGATCGATCAGAAGTCCTAATAGAGCTGTAACGTTTCTATCATTATATAGAGGCCACACTAATTTTGTGCAGGAGGATCCGACTATTTCAGCACACCGGATAACAGAAGAATTAGATTCATCCATAGCCAAAAATCTTTTACACTAGGATATTTTGTCATCGAGCATCAACAAATCACAGAATATATATATAAGCCACACAACAATGTTCACATTGATGTTGTGATAATGGAACACCCCAATGTATCCTGAGATTTAGTTTTGTTTTGCAGAATAAAAGGACGAATAAAGGCATGACGCACCGACTCATCGGATCGTCATGAGGGGGAGAACCGTCCAAGTGCTTATAAAATTTCAAAGATCATTCTCGGACACTTCTCTCCTCCAACATACACATCTGCCCACTCAACTTCACATCAAATGGTCAGCTTATACTCATAACTCAATCATCATTTTCTGTCATGCCACCGACAAGTTCTCCACAAAAGCATATACATCAAATAGTCAAAAGACTACATTCTGGAGGAGACAAAGGTCGGATACTCAAGAACCGAAGAAGAATCCCATGTGCGCTTGAAACTCTTCAAGAATATTCATTCTAGAGGCGCAATCGGATTTCATTCAAGCTGATCAAGAGCAACTTTTGAAAGGCAAGGACTACACACAAGATTTTGAAGATCCTTAAACCCCCGACATCAAAGAACGAATTGCCAAGAAAACATCAAAGGGGAGATTGTTATGATTTCTTCAGGAAGCCTTTCGAAGAAGACAAAGGAAGCTTAATTGCATTGGGCGGAGATCAAGACAAAGATAATCTGCGCTTCGTTGCAAATTGAACACAAAGGGGGAGATTGTTAGAACATATTTTATTGTGTTCAAGTTAATTATATTTATCTTTGTCTATTAGATTAATAAATGGGCTATTAAATTAATTAGGGACCATTTAATTAGATTAATCAGGCTCATCCTATTGTAACTAGGATGTTCGGCCATATGCCTATAAATAAAGGCAGTATGGACTGAATAGCCTAAGAGTTCCCAATTCCTAATAGCCTCACGCAGTCACGCATCATTCTTGGAACTCATATGTTAGAGAGAGAAGAATAAGTCTCTACACAATTGATTCCACATCTATTATTCTCTTAGAGCACCTAGATATTTCTCTCTCAACAGTTCATCCGTGTAATATGCATTATTGCTACTTCTTTATGAATATACGGTATTGAATGTTGATGAATTATTATTCTACTGTTCAAATTCTTCATATTATTATTCAGATTATATTCGACTGTTGATTTGGGATCGCTCAAACAGGATAACTTGCCACATAAGCCCTAGGGTAAGCCCGACCTCGCTAGAATCCGCTCAGGCTCGAGGCTAATAGTGTAGATTAATTAGCATTAATTATTAGGCAGTAAGCCTGTTATTTGGAGACTTATTTTAATTATAAATATACAGTCAGGGCTACTAGTCTGGTTAAGCTTGTTATTATTTCTCACATGGTATCAGGAGCCTAGGGTTTTTGAACAAATTTTTTTTCTCTCTCTCTCTCTCTTCATGGCTTCTGCCGCCAACAATTCTACCTCGGTTGCACCACCCATCTCAGCCGCACCGCATGCCATCAGCTTGCCTCCATCTTCCACGATGTCGACGACGCCGACTACTCTTAATTTTGGGTCCTCCTCGTCCGTGATGCAGCCGTCTCTCACCATGCCTTTTCCGATGAGCAGCGCCGCACCGAATATGTCGGCGTGGGTTCCGCCGGTTTTTGATTGGTCACCGTCACCATCTGCCCATAGCCCGCCTGGACTGTCTTCATCCGAGCATTCAGCCACCACCGAGCCTCCATGTGTCCAGTTTGCGGGTCCTACTCTATCCGGTCAACAAGGGCTTGCTCCAGCCGGTTCTCTTCATCCAATTGGTAGAGCGTCTCCTCCCATGGCAGCCTGCTCCCTTGAAGCAATTGCCCAATCCATGGGGTTTTCAGCACCCAACATTACCAATATTGTCACTACCAAACTTGATGCAGTTGAAGATTATCTTCCCTGGTGCACACAATTTGAGTCATTCTTGGTCTCCCATGGATTGATGGGCATTCTGGATTGCACAATTTCTCCTCCTCCTCCCTCTATTATTGATGCTCTTAGGAGAGAAGTTGTTAACACTAAGTATTATTACTGGTTAAAGTTAGATCAAACAGTTCATTCCTGGATGTTTGCTACTTTATCTTGTGATATACTCGTTGAGGTTCATGTTGGGTTTCAGGCAGAAAAACGCGGCGGAATAAACAAAAAACAATCTGCCCAAAAGTAAACAACCGGATATGAGGTTCTTACTATAAATGAAATTACAAGATATAAGAGGGACTTACATAGCAATCTTAAGCAAGGATGTCAGACAGTCCGAGAAAACGATCCCGAGCTCTATCGGTATCCACACACACGTGACTGGATCGACCACAGGGAACGTGCTAGCGTTCTCTTCTTTCTTTCTCTCTCTCTCTAGGTTTTGAGATGTGAATTTTAACTCTTAAAATTCGTGGGTCTTCTTAGCCCTATTTATAAGAGGAGGAAAGAAGAAGTTTTATAGCTAATAAAACTCTCTTGGAGGTCCTAGCGCAATACCATTCAAAAACCTACTTCGAATTGGGCTAATCAGGCTATTATAATGTTATTAATGAACATTAATGATCCAAATCACTTAGGTGTGTGACCCTGTAGGTTTATATATCGTTGGCAGTGGACTAGAAAATTAATTCAAGCCTCACAAATCATAAGCGACCTCTAGCAAAGCATTATGATTATCCAAAATATATAAATGTCAATTAAATGTGACATAACCTTTTAATGATTAATTTGTGCTAATAATTCCCTTTTGTCAAATGATATCTTAATTGAGACAAGGTTAGGTCATGTCATCCTTGTTATTCTCCATTAACATTTCTTGATTACCAAGTAAGATTAATCTTGAAGAAATGACACCTCATTTGAGCATGGCCATGTTAATTAATCTTACTTATCAAGGGGCCCAATATATATCTTTCTGTCACTATACAAGAGTGACAAAAACTATCTTGATAATTCACATACCACTACATGGTTCATAATATGTACAATCACCACCTTTATAATTACCCATTTAAAGATAACATTAATGGTGTTAATACATATTAATTCACATGCAAGTAACCATGATTATCTCAAGTATAAGAATATAGCACATCATCATTATTGAGGACAACATTGATGACATATAATCTAGCAGTGTCCTCAAGTTGGGTCTGTCCAATGAACTTGTTCACTAACAAGCATCTATGTTATTAACTTGATATCTCTATACCCATGACTAGTAGAATATAGCCATCAGTTAATCCACATACTGGTCAATTAATTATTAATGCCTAATGCTCCTCGTACTTCACATAGGTTGGTTGTGAAAAGAATTTTCAAGTATCTGCAGGGCACTCTCACGCATGGCCTTCATCTATGACCTTCAACACATCCTCATTAAGTTCTTGCGTACTCTGATGCTGATTGGGCTGGTTGTCCTGATAGTTGCCGCTCCACTTCTGTCTTTGCTATTTTTTGGGACCGAATCTAATCTCTTGGCGCTCTAAGAAACAACCCACTGTCTCCAGATCGTCCACTGAGGCTGAATATCGAGCCATTGCATACACTATACAGGACACTCTACATATTGGGTCTATACGGTTTGAGCTTGGATTTCCTATTTCAGCATCATACTTATCTGCTAATCCCATTCAGCATGCTCGCAGTAAGCACATTGACATTGACTATCATTTTGTTCACGAGCGTGTGGCTCATGGTGATCTTCTGGTCCAATATGTTCCTACGAAGTTTCAGTTAGCAGATATTTTCACAAAGAGTTTGGCTCCTCATCAGTTTTTATTCTTACGTGACAATCTACGTGTAGTTCCTCCTACATAGCTTGAGAGGGTGTAATAGTGTACATTAATTAGCATTAATTATTAGGCAGTATCCTAATTGTATTTGGAGATTTATTTTATTATAAATATACAATCAGGGCTACCAGTCTGGTTAAACATGTTATTATTTCTCATAGAAGTCTCCTGTCCAGGTCTGACTTGGTTGTGGGTTCGTTTCACGGACCGCAATTCCTGTCAGACCCAATGGTTGTTATTAATTAATTGATCCCGATTAGTGGGCTTGGTTTACCGTTCTCGTGCAATGGACTTCACATATAATTTATTTCTGTACCATGACTGAGATCCATGGTACCATCCAGCGTGATCAATATAACTGTGACCAACAAAACACAACTCCAAACAATACCATTAGATTTGTTTTTTTTTCAAGGCTAAAGGGTCAAATAGGTCCTTGTACCCTTTCGGATTGCTCAATTTGCCCCTCAACCTAAAAAAGCTCCAATTGGCACCCTGAACTCGATAAAAATATTCAAATTTCACTTTTTGCAAGTTTCAATCCGGTCACCGCCACGTCACCCCGGTAGGGTGCCAACTGTGCATGTGACATGGCAACTTAGGGGGTCAAATAAGCCCCTGAACCCGACTGAAATGTTCAATTTACCCCCTCAACCCTTAAAAATATTTTGACATTTTTTAGGGTTGAGGGGGTAAATTGAACGATTCGATCGGGTTCATGGGCCTATTTGACCCCCTAAGTTGCCATGTCACATGCACAGTTGACACCCTACCGGGTGATGTGGCGGGTGACAGACTTGTGACCTGCAAAAAGTAAGATTTAAAACTTTTTATGGAGTTTAGGATGCCAATTGAAGCATTTTTGAGTTCGGGGGCAAATTGAACAATCCTGAAAGGTACATGGACTTATTTGACCCTTTAGCCTTTTTTCAAACATACCCTTGGGTTGTGTGAGGGTGAACTCATAACATACGTTTTTCTCTCTTTCAAACATACCTCTAGGTTGTGTCCGGGTGGATACATAAGGGACGTAGAGTTGTCTATGAATGTATAACCCTCAATTAAGGTTAAGGAAGTCAAACCCCCAAATTTAGGCCAATTTTATAACTTTACCATCTAATCTGCACAAAATAAAGAGTCGGGAGATTTTAAAAGTATACGACAATCGCAGCCGTTTTTGAATTTAAAAAATCGTTTTTCCTTCTAGTCTAGACCTGATTAAATTATGAGCAAGGAAAAAAAGGTCCTTTTTGTTATTGATAGACAAGGGAAATACATAAACGAGTAAATCACGTTCCGAGTAAAGTTTGCTTTCCGAAAGTTTTCAAGTAACTGCCCTCTTTGGTTCAGTCAACGTTATTAGAAATAAGAAAAGAATCAGGTAGACGGAGTAATGAATACGGCAACGCTGCTGCGAACATTCATACCTTAATTGAGGATTAAAGGTGACTGTTTGGCCATAACTCACGGAATGGCACCGTTTTTAATACTATATAAGCACATCCATGGGAAACTGCAAAAAACGCAGCAGTTTGATCGATTTGATGAAGAACACTAATGATAGCAGATTGATGAACAAGTGTCGTCTTTCATCATTGGGGCTCTTTCTGGGGCTTCAACTTCTTGTTTTTGCTTCTCTGTGCTGTACTAATGAAGCCGTCGCGACCGCCCCACCAACGCTCAATTTCGCCGACTGCCTCTCGGCCCCCAATAATGCTCAAATTAAGCCAATCCCAAAAGGCGACGTCTCTAAGATTGTTTACCAGCAAAACAATGCTAATCCCACATTCACATCCGTTTTAGATGATTACGTGAGGAATCTCCGGTACAACACCACCTCCACTCCTAAACCCGCCATGATCGTGACCCCATTGACGGAAGACCAAGTTCCGGCAGTGGTTGTGTGCGCGAAGGCCTCCGGAATCGAGATGAGAATCCGGAGCGGCGGACATGACTACGAGGGGGTCTCTTATGTCTCCTATGCTAAGACGTTTATGATTCTGGACATGTTCAATCTCCGGTCAGTCGATGTCACTATTGACCAGAAGGGAGCGGGGTCGGCGTGGGTAAAAGCCGGAGCTTACCTCGGGGAGCTTTACTACAGGATCTCGGAGAAGAGCCGCGTGCACGGATTCCCCGCCGGTGTCTGCCCAACCGTGGCCGTGGGTGGGCACTTGAGCGGCGCCGGGTACGGGAACATGCTCCGGCAGTACGGGGTGTCGGTTGATCACGTGGTGGACGCACGTATAGTGAACGCGAACGGGGAGATTCTAGACCGGAAAGGCATGGGAGATGATCTGTTCTGGGCCATCCGAGGCGGCGGCGGCGCGAGTTTCGGAGTAATCCTGGCATACAAAATCGAACTGGTTGCTGTCCCGGAGAAGGTGACGTATTTCCGAGTGGAGAAGATGGTGGAGGAAAACGGGACGGCCGTGGTGATAGAGTTCCAGAAGGCGGTGAGGAGCATGGACAGCCGGCTCTTCGTCCGCCTCCTGGTGCAGCCAAGTACTACGGCGAATAAGAACAAGACGGTCAAAATCACGGCCATCGCGTTGTTCCTGGGGAACAAGATCGAGGCGGTGAAGGAGGCGAAGAAGGAATTGCCGTCTCTGGGACTGAATGAGACGGAGTGCGTGGAAATGAGCTGGATCGAGTCGGTTGTGAAATGGGCGAATTTCAAAGACAACGCCGCAGAACCCCAGGACCTGCTGAGCAGAGTCCCGGAGGACCCAATAAAGTACGGGAAGAGGAAATCTGATTACGTGGAGACGGCGATACCCGAAGAGGGGCTGCGGACGCTGTGGAATAAAATTCAGGGGGGGGAGGTGGGGATGGTGTTCAACTCCTACGGCGGGAAACTGACGGAAACCTCAGACAACGCGACGGCGTTCCCTCACCGGTCCAACACTCTGTTCAAAATCCAATACTCCGTATCCTGGGAAAATGGAACCGACACGGAGGCGAACCTGAAGCAAGCCAAGGATCTGTACCAGTTCATGACCCCATACGTGGCCAATCCTCGACGGGCGTACCTGAACTACAGAGATCTGGACATCGGCACCAACCAGAAGCAGCAATCCGATGTGTTCGGCTCCATGTACTTCCGTGACAACTTCAAGAAGCTGGTCCAGATCAAGAAGCAGGTCGACCCTCAGAACTTCTTCAGATATGAACAGAGCATCCCGCTATCTGCTACCCACTGATAATGATTCCACTTCCACTTATTTTTGTTTCTTTCATACACATCACACATGTATTTGTTTATCGGATTGGATGCCATTTCCCCATGCTACATCTTCTTCTACACCTAATTACGCTACCCCACAAAATGTTTTTTGTTATACAATGTGCTCAATTATTACGGTTGAATATATATACACGTGACAAATACAAATGTCAATCTTGTTTCTTTGTTTGTTTCTTGATCCATCAAATTGGTAACTCAAGAATGGGAGCTGACAAAAAAATCGAGACCAATCAATTGAATGAAGCCAAATAGGGATGACAATGGGGCGGGGTTTCACTATCCCATCCTCGCCCCGTGTCTAAAAAATCGCTCTCACCCCTACCTCATCCCTGACTACTATTCGACTCGCCCCATCCCCCGCCCGACCCGCAAGACCGAGACAGTTTTTCGTAGCGAAAAGTGCTTAATTTTGGTAAAAAAAGTGTAAGGCTATTATAGTTGCACAACTATGTGAGAAGTCAGAAAAGAAATAAATGTTGAGACGTCATTATCCCGAGTTATTCCAAGTTTCGAGGACGAAACTTTTATTAGGTGGGAGGGATTGTAACGCCCGTACTTTTTAACTACTTCTTATGTGCTAATTAATTTTATATATGATCATGTTTTAACTTATGGTTTGAATGATATATATGTGAAGTATATGAATATCATGTGATTATGAACTTGGTGATAATTGTATTTGGTTTACATACTTGAAATATGTTTTATCATGACAGGTGACGGTACCCGATTAGCAACCAAATGACACCATAATAATCATTTTTATTTCGGTTGAAATGGTATATGAGTTAGTTGTCAGGTTAGATAGTATTTGGGTGTTTAAAATGTAGTTAAAATGTCACCGAGGATCAAGGATGAGATCGACCAACAATCGGGGTCGGTATAGGGCGAAAAAGGATATTTTCGGCAACCAGGGAAGCCCAAATCGGCGCCGGTTGGACCCAGACCGGCGCCGATCCAAAACCTAACTTAAGGGCGGTGGAAATGCAGGGCAACCGGCGCCGGTTGGGCCATGACCGACGCCGGTCGGGGCGATTTTTGCCCAGGTCGGTGTACGGCGTATTTCAACGGGAAAAATCCCTTTTTCCCCCAAAGCGAAGCCCAGCTCGACCCCCCTCTCTACAAACTCATTTCCAAACCTTACCTAGACTGATTCAAGCTCAAACTAAGTCTAGTATTCATCAAGAATCATTACTTGGTAAGATTTTACACCTTACATGAAGTAATTTTTCCATATTTTGGTCTATGGTTCAGGTTTTTGGTTTAAGCTAGGGTTGAGTGAATTTTGGATTGATTCTAAGTATTAATGGATGTTATAGATGATAGGAGTGTTGTAGAGTGGTTGTTTATCCTTGGTTTAACAAGTTCTTAAATCTATTCTTGAATAACTAGCTATATCAAAACTATGTCAATTTGATGAAAGAATTTGGGGAATCTTCTTAATATGTATATAGGCTGATTTTAAGTAGATGTGTAGAAATCTTGATAGTATGGTTATTGGTTAGTTGTTGTTGACTCTGGAGTATGAAGTTCAATCGGCTGTTGGTTGTTTAATTACCCGAGAATTTGACCGGTTGAGGTATAGGAGTCTTAAGAGTCTACCATATTCAGGGGCTGGTTTTGTTGAGTTCCTATTATTCCTAAGTCTTAAGGTTTTGGTTAAAAACATGAAATTATGTTGATCAATTGTAAATGATATATATAGTTAATACAAGAGCCGCCACTTGGAGTGACGACTTTCCTTAACCGTGGTTAATTCCAACAGTATTTTGGGAATTATTCTTAACCCGGCAGTATTTCGTGAATAATTTATTTAATTAGCATTATTCCGGAAAAAAAAAACTCGGATTAAAGGTGGATTAAAAACGGGATTGACATAATATTCAAAAAAAATAGTCATACATAGGCAATCTTAATTACATTCATCTTCAATATTTATAAATAATGAAATAGTAAGAACTACATATTTTGTAGAACTTTTCACGTTATTTTTAAATATGCAACTTTTATGTTATCATTAAATTAAGTGTAACAAAGTTGTCAAAAACTATTTAGACTATTAAATGCAACAGAAGTCTTGTTGCAAATAAATAAATATTTTAATCAAGATAGAATTTTCTTGTAATAAAAGTAAATAGTATACCTTTAGTCCTAGACGGGGAAGGATTAGACTATTTTTAATTTTTGGGTCATTCTATAGTTGTTTTTTGGTCATTCTAATTGATGGGCGTTCAATGTTCATAAGGTGGTGTGGGAAGACATGCATCAGTTTATAGGGCCGGTCCTAGGGGCAATAGGGACAATCGCCTTAGGTCCGATAAAATAGCAAAAAAAAAAGGCTCAACTTTTTTCTTTATATATAGTGTGAGTATGTTTTTTTTTCTATTTTGTTATAATCTTTTTTTTGAATAATCTTTTTTTGCATTTTAAAACTCATTTAATTAGACCCAAGGTATAATTTTGTTCATAATTTGAAAATTATAAAAGAAAACTTCAAAAAAATATACAAGTATATATAAAGAAATGTAACTATCCCTCCCAATAGGGTTGTAAACGAATTGAATCGAACCGAATACTTGATAATATTATTCGTATTCGTATAATTATCGAATATTCGTATTCGTATTCGTTTAAAATTTGAATCTTATTTTGTATCCGTATTCGATTCGTTTGATATATTCGAATCTTTTTCGAATCGGATTCGAATATTCGAATTCAAAAAACATTAAATTTAATTTGTGAAAATAATTAAAATTATGATGTTAGTTTGCCCCTTTTAACTAATTTTCATATTACATATTTTATAGGAAACAAAATTCATTTATAGAAGTCAATTCAAATTTAATATCAATATAGATAAATCAACGGAGAATTTTAATTGTAAATTAAGCTATTTTGACCTGGTAAAGTAAGAATTTTTAAATTAAAATATGCAAAACATTTACATGAATATTTTGTTATTAATATTTTTACATTGAACTATATGTATTCATAAGAAGTAGTATATATTGTATGAATATATAAATATATAAATATATATATATATATATAATTCGAATATATTCGAATATTATTCGAATCGAATATCATAGTATTTGTATTCGTATTCGTAAAGTATTCGAATCAAAAAATAGATTTGTATTCGTATTCGTATTCTACTTACTCGAATTCGAATTAGCATTTTCGAATTCGAATCACGAATCGAATCAAAATTATTCGATTCGTTTACAACCCTACCTCCCAATCCCGGATATCCCTTCTGAATTCCTAAACTACCGAACAGCCCAATCGACCCCATCCCAAACTCCCTGTCTCACAATAACCCAAATACAAATTCAAGGTTTTCATTGTTTCGGCAAAATTCAAAATTAAAATCAACTAACCAAAATTCAAAATTAAAGTCATAAAGTTTGTAGAATTTTTCAATACTACAAACCGTCTGCTAATCAATTCAAGAGCCCATATGGTGGTCAACGATTACAAGTCTAGAACAACTTTTTTCAACTTTCAAGATTTCAAACAATCTATCAATCACTAGTGGTCAATAAATCAATCTCAATCTATTAGATATAAATGATGAATCTATTAAAATTTCTTTTGATTTATGATTAATGATTTATGATTTATCCTTGCAATTGCAATTTGTATATTAAAGAATGTTTTTGTTGTATGATGCATTTCTATTGTCTTGTTAAATTGATATCTCATATGTGTGTGCTATTGTCTATTGACCCTATTGTGCAATTTTGAATTCTTTTATTGTTTTTTTACGATTGTGGAAGTGTTTTATAAAATTGGTGAATCTGGTTGTGCAAAAGAGAAAAAGAGGTAAAGATTACAAAAGGCAGCCTTAAGTCAAAAGGAGGCAATGGAAAAATATGTTTTTTTAAGAAGTTGAATCATGAAAATTCTTCTCAAGTTGAATCGCCGCTAAATTTTTTTGCGAATGAAAATCATAACACGCTTGGGAATAATGATATTGGTGCAGAAGTCGCAAATAATTATTAACTTTTGTACAAAATTTGTACACTCCTTTCTTCCAAAACAAACCTAACACTCCCTACAACATGTAAGTCATTGGATTTAGAATAAATAATAATGTAATCATGCATAAGAGCACCCACTACGGGGAGATCATTGGAGATCAAGAAAGAATTGGATGCCACTTGATCATCACTATGGAAGGTCATTAATTGATCCATCAAATTGGTAACTCAAGAATGGTAGCCGGAATCCGAGTAAATTAAAAGAGAAGAGTTTATTGGAAAGTTCAAGTAGATATTTCTACAGAGTATCAGCTAGAGAATACAAATTGCGATCCCTTTCCACAAGCTGGAAGGTGATACTTATACTGAAAAGGCAATACTTGGTGCCCAGGTAAAAATATGCTGAACTAATAGGGAGAGGACGTGTGTCCTATCTATTCTAAAAGACTAACAGTGTAAGTCGATGGGGAGCAGCCACGTGTAAAGGCGATCGGAGAGATAGACCGGAACAACTCGCTGATTGGAACTGCTCCAACAAACTGCTACCCGAATGCCCATGTGGCTACATGTGTGTGATCCAGAACATTCTTTTTCCCCGCTGCTAGGAGTGACATGGCGGTATTCCTATGGGTCATCTGTCTTCATATATTTTGGTTAAGTCCATAATGCCTTGATCAGGCCCTGAGCCCACTGAGGTCAGTACCTGGAGACTCGGGCTCATCGTTGGGGAATGCGTATTCTGTCTCTTGTTCCGTCTTTGAGGTCGTTGACTCCTTAGTTTGATTTCGATTGACTCTGCGTTGATACCCGAGGTCGGAGTCGGTGTCGAGCTCGGTGCTTTTGAGGTCGGACTCATAACTTGTCGAGTTTGAGCGGTTCCTGAGCTTGGTATTTTCCCGACCTCGGGGGTCGAGATCGGGGTCAGCCGGTCCTACGGCCCTTAGTTATTTTGCTGCCTGGCACTTCATCCCGACCTTGGTGGATCGGGGTCAGGGTCGGTCCAGTTGTGGACTTAAGCCTTTTTATGCGCTGTGGGATGAATCCGTGAAGTCAATGCCGACGATTATGATACCCCTGAGGTATGTGAGAATATACTCCATCAGTGAATTTCATTTTTTTTACCTTTATTCAATTATTCGGTAGTTTTATTATAATTTATGTTTGTCTTATAAATTCAAATCAAAGATAGTGTCTCACCCATAGGCCCAAAAATTGACAGGACCGGCCCATTCAGTTAGTGGCAACTAACTAGACAGAAAACGAGACTGATTTGGATTTAGGATGTTTTTACTTGGACTATAATTCATCCCAGACCAGACCAGACGAGACCACACCAGATCAGACCAGACCAGACCAGTTCAGACCAGACCAGATCAGACCAGACCAGACCAGACTTGGATAGTTATAAAAATACAAAGAAACCAGACCAGACCAGACCAGTACAGACCAGACCAGACCAGACCAGATCAGACCAGTAAATTACAGTCCAAGTAAAAACATCCTTACACGGAGGGGTAATGTAGTATTTTGATTATAGAATTTATGAATACAACATTTAAAATAGTATTTTAGATTTACAGAGTTATATGAAGTTGTTTTTATATTTTGGCAGTTATAAACTTAAACTTAGAAATTATGTTTTTGATTTATTAAATGTATTTGACAGTATTTGGTATGTGTTCTTAGTATTTTTTCTTTTTGAAACCAATATGATTACATTTATGTCCCAAAAACAATATACTTATCCAATAAATATCAATGTGTAACATATTAGGAGAAATCTCTAAAACATAAATAAGAATTTTATCAATCCAGAATCTGGAAGATACGTTCACTATCTATAAGAGACATGAAAGATAAAGTGTATCGATAATGATCTGAATGATTAGAAACTGTCAAACTAAGATCTAAAATATCAATAGCTTTTGATTAATTTAATTTTTTATTAATTTCTTTGTTAATTTTTTATATTCTTTCTTCACAAAGGTTTATTAGCTTAATTAGATTAACTAATATTTAATTTATATAAAAATACAAAAACATTAAAATAAGACTCCCACACTTTGAAGATTGTCACACTGGCCTATAATACAAACACTTTGGCATAGAAATCGAGACTCTAACAAGTGCACAAACCACGTATCATTTAACATAATTAGAATACTAATTTATGAGAATCATATTTTAAATAGGAAAAATTGAAAATAATAATTCCAATTATTGTAATCTCAACTATTCATTATTATTGTATAATCCAAACTATATGGACCGTCCGTCAATAATGGTCCATGACCGCATATTACCTGCTCTAACAAGTGAATTTTTTATTGAAATTAAGCGTAAAAATTAAAATTCGGGATTATTTATAGGGATTACCTGTTATATCTCTTTAGAAACTATATGAATTCATTTATAGTCGGTCCTCGAACCATTATTGGCAGAAGAGCTCTAAAATTGGGATTATTCTGAAATAATCAATAGTTGGAATTATTATGAACGATCACCAATATTTGGGATTATTATCGGGAATAACAATGCGCGTGTCAAAGGGTCACAATGAATACGAGAGGTGGACCCGATCACTATTCCCGATTCAGTAAGCAGAACCGAGATCGAAAGGGGGAGAGCGAGATATGATACATGATTTTGGGTTCGAATTTTTGGGACCAGAACCGGAAGTCTTGGTCTGGTTACAAAGGCTAGTTGCATTGTTTCCCGTTTTCATATTGGTCAGAGCCCAACGACTTCCAATGGCTAATACAATTGTTGGGGACTAGACGATAAGAGGAGGTAAAAAATAATACTTCCTCCGTTCTTAAATAAATGCAACGGTCAACATTTCACATTTACCGAGACACAACTTTGATCATTAATATAAATGATTTTGTATTAGTAAAAAAATTAAAAAAATTAGATTATGAAAATTTACAATGAGACAGGTTTAACAATATTTCTTTCATAAAATAATATTATTACATTAATAAATTAGTACTCTGTATCATTCTTCACGTTTTTCACACTTCAACATCACATTTTCCTCATCCCGCAATCTACATTACTACTCTCTTATCTACTCATATTATTCAATAGTCAAATAATACTATGCTCAGGGGCGGAGCCAGTCAGCCAGGGGAGACCGGGAGAGCCAACCCTGACTCTGGCCAAGCCTAAATTTAAAAAAAATGATCATATTTTAGTGTAAAAAATTATGTGTATTTTTTTTTCACCTGCACTCTCCATCTCATTTTCAACTTATTAATTTCATTTGTGGGTATATATTTATATTATTCATATACATGTACATGGAAGCATCATCCACTATGTCCATTTAGGGATGGACCCGGGCTGGTCCGGTTCCGGCCCAGGCCCGGGCGGGCTTTTATTTCAAATTGTTGGGCCCGGAACCGGCCCGGGTTGATACCAAGTCCGAGCCTAACCGGGCCGGGCCGGGCCTTAGTCAAGGTATTTTTTTTGCTTTCTAATTAACCCCCGACACCCCCCCCCCCCCTTCACCCCACACCCCATCACCCCCACCCCCAACCCAGCCCTAACCAAGAAAAACAAAAAAATTGAAAAAAAAGCTCGAGCCGGTTCAACAAATACAGGGCCCGAGCCCGGCCCGCTTGCCCAACCCTCCCCAACCGGGCAAAAGCTCGGGCCCGGTTAGCACCAACCAAACTGGGCCGGGCCCACACAATGGCGGGCCAGGCCGGTTCTGGGTCGAATCGGTTGGGTCCACCCCTAGTCCATTGCAATGTTAACTCGTTACCTTTTAAAAAAGAATGGCGTCAAATGACATGCTATAGCACAATGTCGAAAGATTTTTACATTTTGAATTCAAGTTTCAAATAATATCCATCGAGTGCGACGTATGGTTGGACTCGGGTCGAGCCACCCGGCCCGTGGACCGCCCCAGCACGCTACTGTGCGAGATCGGGACCGGCCCGGTTCTCGGGTCCGACTCCGGGTCGGGCCTAGGCCCGGGGGGTAGGGCGGGTCCGGGCTCGGGTCTCAAATTTGGTGAACCGGCCCGGGCGGGTCAGGCCCGGGCCAAATTGAATTTTTTATATTTTTTTTCATTTTTGGGGTTCCACCCGGGTTGGACTTGATGGGTAGGGTGGGTTTGGGGGGGTTTGGGAGGGTGGGGGTGAGGGGGGGGGTTAGGAAAGCAAAAAAAAATATCCAAACCGGAGGCCCGGCCCGGCCCGAACCCGGACCGGACCCGGTGGCTACCTAGGCCGGTCCCGGGTCCACCATTCATGAACCGTCGGCCCGCCCGGGTCTAGGCCCGACCCGAGTCCATCCCTAGTGTGATGTGGAACATTTTCAGTTTTTACGTTTTGAATTTAGGTTTATTTAATTTTTTACATAAACAAATTCCTATTGCTTATTAAATGTCATAATTACTCTTATACATTTTCAAACATATAATAAATTATTCAACAAAACAATTGGGACCGGGCCAGACGGGAACAAGGATCAATTCGGAAACGAATTAATAACAAATTTTCCCCGGGGACTTGCCCAGAATTACGGATTCACGCCTAGATAGTAGATACGATTGGAATTTGGAACCCAACCTTTCATAAGAACCGACTTCGTTACACCAACAGTCCGTACTTCCATAGAATAGAAACAAAGCCGAAAATGATTAGAGGAATACATGTGCCTTCAACTAATTGGGAGTTGAATTAAACAATATTATCCGAAATTGAATTTAAATAGGAGTTAAACAAGAATATTACGGAGTACTAATTAGCGAAAAAGAGATCTTTTTAAGTTTCCAAAAAATAAACTAAAAAGGATTAAGAGGACAATTACACCCTTTCCCACTTGACCCATGCCTAGGGGTGGACTCGGGCCGGGCCAACCGGTCCGGAACCGGACCGGCCCGCTACTGTGCGGGTCCGGACCGCTACTGTACGGGCCCGGACCGCTACTGTGCGGGCCCGGCCCAGACCGGTGAACCGGTTCCAGGCCCGGTTCGGGCCAACCGGCCCGGTGGGATGGCGGTTCGGGCTCGGGCTCTTCAAAAGGTGAACCAGCCTGGCCGGTTCAGGCCCGGGCCGGGCCAAATTTTTTTTTTGAATTTTTTTTAAGTTTTTGGTTTGGGCTGAATATTTTGGGCCATTTGAAGTGGTTAGGGTTGGTTTGGGGGTGAGGGGGAGGGTTGGGGGTTAACTAGGAAAAGCCAAAAAAAAAAAATAGAACCAAGCCCGGCCCGGCCCGGACCCGGGGGTTACCCGGGCCGGTTCCAGGCCTCCCCTTCTTGAACCGAGGCCGGGCCGGGCCCGAACCGGAACCGGTCCACCCCTACCCATGCCTATAGTTACCAAAGCTAGTGACAAACGTCACATTGACTCACCGCCCTACCGACCAATTTCCAGTGACCCGCCGCCCCAGTGTCCTCCGCTCAGTGACTTACCACCCCACTGACAACTCCACCAGTGGACGCTAACGGTGCCATCTGGTGGCAAAATTCTACTTCGACTTCCTCTTCCTTCGTTGCATGAGGTGGTCACTAACATATCACATCTACACACACGGTGCAATTTAAAGTTTCAACAGTGTCCTTGTATTTTTCACATCAATAGTAATTAGTTATCAGGACTTATCACTTTTTACCCGCTGCTATCCAATTGGATCAAATTTATACGCATTTGGGTGAAATGAATTTTCTATATTCACAGTGTGCTTATATTTTTCACATCAATAGTAATTAGTTATCAGGACTTATCACTTTTTACCCACTGCTATCCAATTGGATCAAATTCATACGCATTTGGGTGAAATGAATTTTCTATATTCACATATGATATGAGAATGAGAATGGGAAAAATGAGAACATATCATGACTTATGAGAGATATTACGTGAATAGCTGTTTGATCATGTCAAATTGCAAAAGTCAATCCAAAAAGGGGGGGAAAGGACCATTAACAGATCACATCTATAGACAACTATTAATGTGAAACATATACAATTGCTAGCACATTGTCATATCAGATTGAGAAAAAATGCGCAGAAAAAGGTTGGGTCTTTCTCTTTCCGTTGAAAAATAATAATGATTCTAAAAACAAGTCTGTTTTTATGTGATAGACAATTAAATGGACATATTTTATGTTTTTCATTGGAAGTTAAACAAATTTAATGCTTTGAGGATCTATTACTCACACCATTCAAACACCAGTGGATGATCTTGACAGAATAAAGTGAAAAAAAACGCTCAGCTTGCCTGGCATTGCTTTAGTCATTGCAGAATATGTAGGACACATAGACATATTCCACAAAGAGATAAGGAATTTGGGCTGTTAAAGGTTCAAAGTGCAGGCTCTGCGATGACGACAAAGGAAACACACGGATTTACTTATCAGTTCTCCATGCTTCAACCATGCCTCAGCAAATATGACATGATATTCTCTACTGTTCTGGGTCTTGCCTAATCCCGCCACAACAGAAGAAATGGGGTAATTTGACTCGGCCACAAACCCTATAAATTAGCAAAAGGTGTTACACTCAAATGATTAAAAAACAAACAGCCCCAACAAATTATGTACTTCCTTCGTTCTTTAATAGATGCAACACTCTATATTTTACACTATTCACACCCTACTTTAACCATGAATTTATACTAATATTTATAATCAAATTATTATGTATAAAATATAATTAAATCGCCTTAATGCGGTTTTTCCAAAAATTAAATTTTTATATTGTTGATTAATACATAATTAAATATAATTACAATCAAAATTGTGTGTTGGCACATGTAGAATGAAAACCGAAAGACATGATTTTAGAATGAAAACTACAACGGAAAATAGTATTACCTCCATAAAAAAGACATGTTTATTAGTTTGTATGGTACAATTCTTTTTTTATTTTGTATGGTACAACTCTTAACAGTCATCCTTCCAATGTTTTTTCAGTTTATTAGTTAGTTGAACTAAAATTACAATGTTTACCTCATTCAAAACTGTTGCATGATATAGCAGGTGCATTTGGAGAAACATGACTCCTTTTTGGGAGTTGGGACCCCCAAAAGCTGTGTCTGAGACAGAACTCTTTTTAAGGAAAAATTTTAAGGTCATGTAAAATCATGAAAGTTGCTGATCATATTTTCTTGATAGGATGTAAAATTATGAAACATCGATTTTCAACTCAACCCTAGAAGCACTAAATCTGTAAGTCCTTACTTGCAACAGATAATCACCGGTTGAGGTTTCAGAGCCTTTGGTCCATTTCGTATGCCTCTCTTATGACGAGAAACCTGCACCATTGAAGGTCTACAATGTTATCCCTGAATAAACATAAGTGGAACTAAGGTACACTTTTTTTGGGGGTCCTTGGATTATTATAGCATTGTCATTTTCATAGCATGAAACTAGATATTCATAATTCCAGTTTCAAGTCCAGAGAATACCCATAAAATGGAGAAACACTTCTGGCCTACACATACAGAACTTGGTGCATGCTCCACCACAGTGCCAAAAGGCCAAAATAGGCTTATGTATTCAAAATATCAGAAATAAATAGAAAAAGACAAGAACTAAAATATAGGCAAACTCAGACCACAAGGCACCATGCTCAAAAGGGGAAAGTTAAGCATGCAACATCATTGACAGTATGCATATTTGCCCTAAATAATCCATAGTTACGACAATACCCAAAACAACAGCTTCTAAAGTCGCAACACAATGAAAAAAACTATTATACTAAAAAGCTATTTTAATAATGCTGACATGTTGTCCTCCTAACACGAACAGATACGCCACCAAGTGACATTATCCACCACCAATGGATGCTGTCGTCACTGAACACCACAACCTGATGCATCACTATATCCACCATCAAACATCATCACCATATGCCACTAACTTAATATATTCCATCTTGTCTCATTTAACCATCATCCATCACCACCGAAGTAATCTAAATTTCTCCCCACATCATACAATGCCCCCGCATCATTGCGACGCGATTTTCACCATGGGTCATCTGGAACAGTCTCGTGCTTTAGTACAGTGGTAAGGTTGCGTACATCCGACCTCCCCTTACCCCAACGTAGGTGGGAGGCTTTGCGGCACTGGGGAATGATGATAATGATCATACAATGCTCCACTTCGTCCTTTCCCATTCATGGTTCTCTAGTGCTCCAAGAACACCTTGGATTGTGTTCTGGAAAAAGATTAATAAAGGGAAAACTGTCAAATATGCCTTGTACTATGTCGAGAAAGTCAATTAGACCCTTCTACTTTGAAAACACCCAATTAAACTCTTGAACTTTAAAAAACGCTCAATTGGAAGAATTAGCTGGTAACCAACCAATTTCCTGGTTACCTGCACGCATGACGTCCTGCGTGCAGCTTATGTGGAAATTAATTTATTTTCTTTTCCTTCTTTTTGTTTCTCTTTTTCTCTTTCTTTTCCTTTTTCTCTTTCTTCCAGTCCACTTCTTCCTCACACGGATCTGGTCAATCTTGTGCTTTCGCTACTTCACTTTCCTCTTTGACCTTCATTGTCATCGAAGAGGGGTCTCCACAAGTTTTGGAGGGGAGATGTATGTCGGAAGGTGCCAAGTTGAGGATGGCTGGTCAGAGCCTCCCTTAATATCTAGCACCGCCACTCGAGCTACCATTTCCGGCATGGGTACCTTCCGAGCTAAATACGGTGAATATTGGACACCTGTTTACTCCAATCGTGCATCCTGATACCGCTGTATTTGTTGAAAAAATTAATTCAGTCATGGTGGACATGCATATGCATACCTCTCCTAGGGTATGCATTTCATGCTAAATGCTGAAGCAGACAAGGAAGGCATTGAAGCAGCTGTCTTGATTCGTTTTTGTGCTCCCATCAAAATATAATTGTACCAATCCCTTGCCAAACAATTTAAACTCTTTAATTTGCATCTTTTCAGTTATGGATCCCCTGTTTGCTTTGCATTTTACTGTAATAGTTATGTATACAACAGTTACATCATTTTCAATGGAGCCAAAGACTCACTATTATTCCACTTGGGAATATGATGCAATAAGGCAAAATGGCTCACTGAACTATTTGTGCTTCCTTGTTATGCAATTTTTAACGTGATTTTCATCATGGGTCATCTGGAAACAATCTCTATGTGCTTTAGTACAGGGATAAGGCTGCGCAACATCCACCCCCTTACCCTACCGTTGGTGGGAGCCTTTGCGGCACTAGGGTAATGTTGTTATTGTTGGTTATGTATACTGGTTGGGAACAATTCAACAACGACGTGGTTAAAAAATGGAGAAGCTTGTTCTTCTTTCTAGGCCTGGAAAGGTGTGTGACAACCTCAGTTTCACTATAATGCCTAATTTAATCCTGAATGAGTACATTGGATGCTTGTTCCCACTCCTTCCCCTTCATATTATTGTCTTTCTTCTCAACTTTTGATTGATTTTTTTAGAAAACCCAGTCCTCACCATCGAAAGGAGAAAATGAACGGTACTTGTGAAGGATGAATTGACAAAATACAAAGGAAAAAAGTGGTGGGAGCTATTGGTGTCATCTTCTCCGGTCATCTTCGTCACCGATGGTCTCGCCATCGGTCACATTTGCCGTCAATGGTAGGGGTGGGCACGGCCGGTTAACCAGATTTCGGTTAACCAAATTTGCGGTTAAACGATATACCCGGTTATTAAAGTTTCAATACCGTACCCGTATCATAGCATTGGTTAACCGCATATCGGTTAACCAAATTTTCGGTTAACCGCTAATCGGTTAACCAATAAACCATAAAAGCAAAAGATAAAGGCTTGATTATTCTAATTGTTTGTAAATGTTGAACCTATATTTTTTTAATTGGGCATGAAAACACTTCCAGTGATAAATAAATAAATAAATTGAGAAGTAAAATGAAGAGTATTATTTTATGTGTATAGTTTCGGACATCTCGCAGGATTCATCTAAGCATATATACATACCTACGGTGCTAAGCAAAGTAAAAGAAGGAATGAATAATTATAATTACTAAATAAATAAGGGAATGATTAATAACACATATGGAAAAATCTAGAAATATCTCCTTGACCATAATATTGCTCCACGTAAATGATGCCTGCATATCCAGATATCCTCTTGGTAACGGTACGGTCGTCTTCAACTCTTCAACGAAGTATGGACTAACTGGGAAGCAAGAGCATAACTGTAGAAGAAATCAATACCACACCGTATGACACAATACATATATTATTTGAAATTTTAGTTATTGCCTTATTGGTTAACCGATTAACATAATCTTGAAATCCTAAACGTACCGTGAACCGTTTGTTCTCAACGGTCAATTAACCGTACCGCGACTTTTTACAAAATCGGTACGATTAACCGAAAAATACACCGGTCTTTCGGTTTTTTTATTCGGTTAAGCGGTTACGGTATTTTGTGCCCACCCCTAGTCAATGGTCTATGTAGCCACCTAGTGGGAGTCCCACTGGAGGCTGGAGGGAATAGAAAACGATCAGGGGAAGAGAAGAAACAAAGAAAGAAAAAGAAAAAAAGGGAAAAAACAAATGTCACACAGACTGCCACGCGTGACAACCAAGAGACCTGTTATCACCCGTAAAACTGCTTAAATGAGCATTTCTTAATAGTACGGGGTTCAAGTGGGTGTTTATAAAGTATGAGGACCTAATAGACGTTTCTGATATAGTACATGGGCCCATTTGACAATTTTCCCGGTAATAAATACTCCCTCCATAACATAAAAATGTTCCCATTTCAAAAGTAGGTAGATTAAGAATAGTGAAAGAGGATATAAATTATTGAAGGTATGATGGGAAGAAAATAGAATATTGTCACGGAATGAAGGATACATCCAAAAAATGTAGTTGTAATAGTGTATTATTTTTCAAAATATTGAGGGTATGATAGGAAGATTTAGAAACGGGAAGATTTTTCGTTACGGACAAAAAGGAAAGTGGGAAGATTTTTTTTGTTACGAAGGGAGTAAGAAACTATGGAAATTCCCAAAAAATGAAAAGGAACGTAAATAAGATGGATAAGACGATGTACTCTGCATGAATCCATATGAAGAGAAGAGACACTACCACAAAAGACTAGGGGAAGATGAAAACTGTGCACATCGTTACAAATAACTAACTGATAGAACTATCACAAATGCAAGCTAAAACAGTACACGGATACTCAGATCTGATAAAAATGTACTGATAAAAGTGTATATTGATAAGAGAAGGTAACCGGTAGGTAACAAGGCAACAAGTCTGTTCGAGAAGACCACTCTCCAAGGCAACACTCAATATCCAAATAACAGCCTGCCATAATTAGCTATTGACCTACTATTTATAGTAAAAGGTATCCACGCAGGGTCCAAAAATAAACAACCAACTAAATAGCTAATTACTTAACAGCCCTTCCCCTTCTATTTATATTACTAAATGTACCCTTACTATTATTAATATTTCTTATTATTAGCCTACTAATCCATATTCCTATCAATAATTCCCCCCTAAACTACCACCTTGTCCTCAAGGTGGATGATATGAAACAACCATGATCATCCTCTTCCACTTCATCCTGGCACCTCTTCCTTCCCAATACCTCACAGCTTGCTTGACCATGACCTTCATTACTTGACCTTTCATCTTAACATCTTTCACAGCAATTAGGGGCAGAAACTGGATATAAGAACTCCCTGGGATTACACTTGAAGCCTCTTCTTTGTAACTAATATCATCATATAAAGGTTCTACAAGGTAAAATCCAGCTGCACTTGTAGTAATTTCAGATGCTACATCATAGAGAACCGCAACATCTGGCTTACCCAGATCTTCATAAGAATTCAGCAGTATCTTCCCTAAAATAGAAATAATCTGGGGAGTTTCATCTCTAAAGGGATCACCTAACCAACAAACTATAACCTTTTCAAGAACACCCATCCAAACTTGAAATGTTCTCTCCGTAGACCTCTTTAGGACTTCCATAAATACTGGATAAGAAGCCTCCTGGATCTCATATTTGGATAAAGCAAAGAGGCCCCAAAGCAAGCTATTTACTTCTAGTCGTATATCCAACTCATCAGTCTCCGCTTTAGATTGCATCATAGGAGAATTATCAGTGTAGACTGTCCATTGATATGCTCTATAAAGAGTTTTCATTCCCTCCAGTAATTTTATAGCAACTTGGATATTATTAACCACTTCGGTTTTCAAGTCTAAATCCATCAGGTGCTCTTCTTTCCCTTCTGTCAGAATGCCTTTACATAGTAAGGGGTACTTACCCCTAGAGTCTTGTATGTTCTGGGCCAAGGTCTGCAGTGATTCTTCAATAGAATTGAGCTGAGAGTCCCCTTGGATAGTCTGTCTTACTCCCAACTAATGCCATTTGATGATTTGTTTCTGAAAATTAACTTCCACATCCCCCAGACTAGTCAGCCATTCCACGCCAAGAACCAAATCAGTTTCCCCTAATTCCAATATATAAAACTTCTGGTTTATAATAGTGTCCTGCAAACTTAAGCCCAATCCCTCACATCTGCCCTTATTGGGGATCTTATCCCCATTTCCAATCTGAACCTTGTAACCAGAAATGTTCTGATATGGTATACCCCATTGCTCCACCAATCTTTGTGATATGAAATTGTGGGTAACCCCACTATCAATTAGTACTTCTACTGGTAATTCTCCCTGGTCCAATTTCAAATAGCCTGGCACTTTAAAAGCTCTCATTGAAGGTATCCCCTCCCCGCTCATCACAGAAAGTTGCATGGTTTTAGACTCCATATTAATCTCCTCTTCCTCAGTCAATTCTGGTTCTGTCACTTCTTGGTCCTCCTCACCCTCTGAATCTTCTACTAAAATCAACTTATAATTCTTCAACTTACATATGTGTTCCTTACTGCACTTTTCCCCGCATTTGAAACAAAGTCCTCTCCTACTCCTGTCTTGGTATTCCTCTTGAGACAGTTGGGGTCCTACTCGCTTTATCCCTGAGGGATTGGTTTCAGTCACCCTTACCCCTCCTGGGGTGTACCAAGGCTGTTTTCCTTTGTTATCTGCAGTATTTTTTTCAGTACTGGGCCAGGAATTTCCACCCTTTGCCTTAAATCCTTCACCCCAATTTGGTGATTTGAAGTTCATGGTCCCCTCATCCTTCCCCTTTACCCTGTCAACATCCATACCCTTCAAATAAACAACATTATTCCTTTGTTCAATCAGGAGCGCCCTATCCATGATGGCAGATAAGGACTTGGAATTATATAACTTCAGTTCAACCTTAACATCCTCCTTGAGGCCATTAATGAAGATACCTCTCAGAATACCCTTGTCTACATTTTTTGGGGAGCTATGACCATCTCGAATTCCTCCCTATATTCCTTTACAGTCCCCGTTTGTCTCAAACTCAGCATCGGCCCGTACGGATTCTGTAATATATCTGGTTGGAACCTTCGAATCACAGCATCCTTCAGACTTTCCCAGGTTCTCTCCTCCACTCGGTGTTCCCACCATTGAAACCAATTTAAGGCCCGATCCTCCATTGCAACTACACAAACTTCTACCTTATCTTCCTCATCTATCTGGTTCAATCGGTAATAGTGTTCCATCCTCGCAATCCAGTTGTAAGCACCTTCTCCGTTAAATAGGGGTAGATCTACCTTCCTGCCCGTATGAATATGACGAGTAGGGGTGGGAGAATGAACGGAATTACCTCTCGACGGCGGTGAGCTATGTGGTGATCGCGACTGTTGGCGGTGCTGTGATCGTGATCTCCCATGTGACCGAACATGAAGGTTTTGAAACTGTTCGCTCATAGCTGCCATCGAAGCTGCGAAATTCCTCCTGTTCATTCATCGCTGTGAGGTTTGCCATTCCCGTTTTCATTTCCAACTCCAACGTATTGATTCGATTCTCCATTTTTGACCTCGTTCTGACCATACACCACTGTCACGAAGCTAAACTGCATCGCAAATAGATTTCCGATTCCCATGAGCTAGTGCTCTGATACCATTGATAGAACTATCACAAATGCAAGCTAAAACAGTACACGAATACTCAGATCTGATAAAATGTACTGATAAAAGTGTATATTGATAAGAGAAGGTAACCGGTAGGTAACAAGGCAACAAGTTTGTTCGAGAAGACCACTCTCCAAGGCAACACTCAATATCCAAATAACAGCCTACCATAATTAGCTATTGGTCCAAAAACAAATAACCAACTAAATAGCTAATTACTTAACAGCCCTTCCCCTTCTATTTATATTACTAAATGTACCCTTACTATTATTAATATTTCTTATTATTAGCCTACTAAGCCATATTCCTATCACTAACTAGGTGTTTTAGTTAGCAAATAGGTAATGGATTTTCTTTGAAATGAAAGGTTTTTATTTTATATTGGCAGCCTATGTTTAGGGTGAACCAGTGAACTTTTTATTCGCCAGATGAGGGGGGAAACAAGCCTTTGTTGTACAATTGTCCCACAACAGAACTTTCGTAGAATTCCATAGCAGTGCATTAGTTTTAAAATCCTCACGTATAAAACTAATTTAAAATAAAAAATTAGTATAAACATCCCGTCTCAAGGTTTATGTACCACAATGCATATTAGCAACCAATTGATCCCTTTTATAGTTTAACATGCCACAAACTGGAGCATACTGCGTCTCTGGTAACTTACAAAGTGTTTGCAAAAAATTAAAAAGTGCTTTTCCAGCTTTTAGCTTAAAAAGCTAAAATAAGTGTTTTCAAAGGAGAGCTTCTGCTTAAATTAAGCACTTAAAAGCTAAAAGTTGGAAGCAGGTGGAAGGGTGCTTTAAACTGTTTTTCACTTTTTCTATTACATAAAACACTTATTTCACCAAACACCACCACCTTTTATTTTTTCAGATACATTTTTTCTCAAACACTACCAACTTTTACTATTAAGAACTTTCTCAAAAATCACTTCAAAAAATCAATTTTTTGAAGTAGAAGCAATCACAAACACTCCCTTAGATTACGGCTATCAGACATGAGCACTGTTACTTAAAACATAAAGCAAGATCAGATGTATGGGCAGTCCAAGTTTCAGTTATTGCACATTCTCCGAACAAATCAATAGCATTACTATTCAAAAAGTGAAGTACTGAATTTCTGAAATCATGACCAATCAACAGTATTCCTATCCAATGTTGATTATGACTTTTAAAGAGGCCATTGCATAAAAATCTATAATTCTAGATGTTTAAGGAACCAATTCATAAAAATCTTAGAAGAAGCCATAACATATTACTTCAGAAGAGTTGCAGTTCTAAGAGAACAGGGTCAATTGATTAGGACTTTTTAGAAACAGAATGAACTTCTTTAATGCATTTGATACTGTAATTGTTTGATGTATATTGTGATGCCTAGTATCACTTCTCCCCCAAACTCTAACGCAAGGACCCGAAGATTCAATATAATCATCAGGAAGTCTAGGAACTAGAATGGATCAATGGAGTACCAATGTTTGGGGGGAAATTTGGAAATGCACCAATAGCCTGAGAATAAAACGGGATCTCTATGCAATGATAAATGGAAAACAGAAACATAACAACTGCAATATAAATATATCAAAGAGAGACTAGATTCGTTTGCAACGGTGAGAAGGTTGTTGGAGAAAGAACCTTCTTTTTGGGAACGGCCATTAGTTCCATAGAGCCTTCGAAGAAAGGGATGTCTTGGAATCCGTACCGTGAGCTGCCCTTACTGCGCTCCTGAGATTCGGGCAGAGCTATAGTTGGCGATGTGAACAGCGGGTTGCCGATGAGGCCATCCATTTGAGCCGGTCGAGCAATCACATGAGCAAATCTATGCACGTTGGACGTGAATCCCATTATGTACCCACTTCCCAAGCAGGTCCTTGCATTGACTACCCTGAAAGCCATTTCTCTATAGCGTGCGCTTCAGCTCTACGCTCTTCGAAAAGAGGATTCACGGCAATTCTGTAGGGTGCGAAGAAATTGGGTTGGGAACTTGGGAAGAGGTAGGTGTCTATGCAGCCCAAAGACTACATTCATTCCAGTTTTAATTTGTGATTCAAATGCTTACTAACTTAATTCGATCAAATTTGACTTGATTAAACAAGTAAAATATTTGTGATTTGAATTTTGTGGAGGAGAAAGAAATATTTTACTCTAAAAATTTTGGAAGCCCCAATTCCAAATGTTAAATTGATGCCCCACATTAATATAAAAAATTAAAAAAAGCTCAATCTAAATAATTATAGTCAAATCAATTGAATTCTCATTAAATAATGTAATAAATATTATTCAAAAAATTACTTAATACAAAGTACTTGATTTGAAGCAACACAACTAATTACTAAAGCAATTTAAGTAAAAGAGAAATAAAAGGACCAACGAAAAATAATATTACTGTATTTTTCTTCATTACCAAATGTATTTTACTCATTCGTATTAATATACTCCATATAATATTATTATATAATACTAAAAAAGGTAAAAAATTGAGGTTATAAATCGGGTGCCCTGTTATGTAGAACATATTGAACCTCCTAAAAACGGCTCTACGTATTGATTATGAGTACTTTAAGAAAATGGAAATGTCAAATTTTTTTTGTGGCTAAATAAGGAAATTTGACAAAATATTGTGAGACGGGGGATTGTTTCTGATTTTGTCTATATTTTTCAATGGTGTATTTTTCAATTTCCTGATTCCATTTCTTCCGTGGAGGACTTTTTTTGAAAGGAAAATGCTTATTTTGATATGATTGAAAAGATTTCATGACACATTTTGATTAAAAAATGATTGAAAAGATTTCATGATACATTTTTATAAAGAAAATGATGCATCCCTTAGAATTTAAAATATGTTTTCTTGAAACCAACCATTCCAGCTCACTGGGTGGAAGGTTACCGTGTCCTAGCGGAGGTCTCGGGTTCGAATCCCGCTAGGCACATTCAGGGGAGAGGAGGGAGGTCTTGCTCCCAATGATTTTTCCTACCTTCACGGAGTTGCTCAGCGGCTGAGAAGGGAGAGGATGATAATGAAGATAGTGGGTTCGTGTGGTGGGAGGAGCAGCCTGATTTCTGTGCCTTCAACCAGGTCAATCAATACAGGGCAACCCCTTCCATGGCTACCGTAGCTGCTGCCACTTTCCTCTCATGTAGGGTTTGATTAACTTCAAACTCTTGTTCAGCCCTAGTTATCCACCCGATCGGTTCTGCGCCGTCGAACGAGGGAAGCAGGGTTGTTGCCGTGCTGCGCAAGCCTTCATCGATCGTGTGCACAGAAGCGACGTGCGCAGAAGAGCCGCTGACGCTGGCTGATGTCGACGTCTTTTCTGGCGGCACCATGGCCTTCGCGATTGCTTCCAGGGAGGCTGCGATTTCCGCAAGTTGGGCTCCATGTTGTTCCAGCATCAATCCCTTCACATCTTGCTTTAGTCCCTGCACATCAAGCTTCTCTTTAATTAGGGTTTGTTCACCACGGATTCGGTTCGGGTCACCCGGCCCGTGACCCGGCCCGGCCCGCTACTGTGCGGACCCGGAACAGGCCTGGTCTGGCGCTCCGGGACCGGGTGTAGACCCGAACCGGGGGGCAGCTTGGGGCGGGCTCGGTTCCGGCAAAATGTAACCCGGCTCGGGTCCGGGTCACAACGGTCAAATTTAAAAAAAAATGTTTTGGGCCAAAAGAGCCGATAGGCTGGGCTGGGACCACCCAAACGGCTATATAGTCGTTGGGTGGGCTGGCGGGGGTGTCCGGGCAGTTTGGGGGTAGGGGGAGGATGAGGGTGAGGTAAAAAAAACTATAAATACTCCTAATCTTAAACATTTTTCCATATCTCTTCTCCAACTCTTCTTAAATCCTACTCTCTACTCTCTAATTATCTTCATCTTCATCTTCTCAAATTCTCTTATTCTTCAATATATTATATATCTACTTATATATTTTATCTACTTATAAATACATATATTATATTACTTATATTTCTTATCTACTTATATATTAATTATCTATTTATAAATACATATATTATATTACTTTTATTTCTTATCTACTTAATCTCTACTTATTATCTACTAAATACATACATATTACAATTTACACCTACTTAATACATTTTACATACTTATTATCTACTAGTTGCATTTTGTATTAACATCACTTCATTAGTTAATTAGTATTCCCATGAATTGTTACATTTTTCATTAAAGTAGAGTTAATTAGTTCATTACAATTTTTCCTATAAAATTGTTAGTTTGATAGTACATTTTATTTCCGTAGTTCGAATTGTTAGTACATTTTAGTACGAATTAGTACATTTTATGTAATACTTTGATTGTTAGTACATAAAATAAGTAGTACAAAAAACTAGTTAATTGTTAGTTTTAAGTATTTATTAAATAATACTATTGATTAGTTCAAATAACTAGTCCAAAAAACTAGTTAATTCATTACTCAATTAAAGTTAGAATTTTACTTCATTAAAGTTAGAATTGTTAGAATTTTATTTCATTAAAATTAGAATTGTTAGAATTTTATTTCATTAGTTCGAATTGTTTTTATAAATTAATATTTGTTACTCCTCCGTCCCGCAATTAAGTTATCACTTTCCTTTTTGGACAGTCTCTAAATTAAGTTCACACTTCCTTACTTTCCTTATTTGACAAATTATCTACATCAAAACAATATCAAACGGTGCAAAACAGTGTCAAACAATGTCCAAAGAGTGTTTGAACAGTGCAAAACAATGCACTCTATAGTAAAGTCAAATTTATTTTCTTAATATGTGTGAAGTCAAACCGGGAACTTAATTGGGGGACAAGAGTGTACATTTTTAAGAAATTGACATCACCTCATCCCAATACTTTTATTAATGAATCAACAATTGAGGATGACTCTACTACCTATGCCGGAGATTCCGATTGATTAGTATTTCATGTTTTAATTTTTCCTTCAATTCTCAATTGTAACTTGTAGTTCATATTTCAAATAAATATACATTCATTTTTTTTGTATGTAGCACTTCTCAAATTAATAAATTTTACATTATGTAATTTATTCAAAAATTTCAAACTAAAATAAACAAAAAAAAAATTGAAATGCACTTAAAGTGCACTTGAAGTTTCTTTTTAATACTTGTATAAAACTATAAAGTAGGGATGGACTAAACCGGGCCGGCTCGACCCGGAACCGGCCCAGCCCGAGCCAGAACCGGCCCGGTCCGGCCCGACCTGGAACCGGCCAGTTACTGTTTGGGCCCGAACCGAACCAGGACCGGTTGGCCGGTTCCGGGCTTTTAGCCAGTTTGGGCAGGTCGGGTGGGCCGGGCTCGGGCCCAACTTTTGGTGAACCGGCCCGGTTCAATTTTTTTTTTTCATTTTTTTTTTTCATTTTTTTTTGCTTTTCTAGGTTAGGGTTGGGTGTTTTTTTTGGGGGGGTGGGGTGGGGGTGGGGGTGAGGGGGGGGGGGGGGGAACGGGTGTTAATTAGAAACCAAAAAAAAAAATTGAACTTGACCCAGGCCCAGTCCGGTTAGGCCCGAACCCGGTATCAACCCGGGCCGGTTCCGGGCCCAACATTTTGCAAAAAATGCCCACCCAGGCCCGGGTCCATCCCTACTATAAAGTATAAATAAGTGAAAAAAAAAGGATTTACCTGACCCAGCCCGACAGGTGGTCCGGCCCGTTACTCGGGCGGGTGGCCCGGCCCGAACCGAAACCGTCCTTACCTCAAGCCAGTCCCGGGCCTATCAATTATAAACCAGAGGACCGATCAGGCCTAGGCCCGGCCCGGGCCCGAACCGGCCCGAGTCCACCACTAGTTCCGTCAAGCGATCATTCTGTGTTCTCATCATTTTGGCGGGAGTGACTAAGGATGGACTCGGGCCGGTCCGGTTCCGGTTCCAGGCCGGGCCCAGGCAGGCTTTATTTGCAAATCCATGGGCCCAGAACCGGCCCAGGTTGATACCGGGTCCGGGCCTAACCGGGCCATGCCAGGCCCGGTTCAATGTCTATTTTTTTTTTTGCTTTCTTGTTATCCCCCGACCCCCACCCCCCAAACCTCCCCAAAACACCCAGCCCTAACCTAGGAAAAGACAAAATTGAAGAGAAAAAAAAACACCCGGGCCCGACCCGAACCGCCCGAGCCGGTTCGCCCAAAACTGGACCCGAGCCCGCCCCACCCGACCCGCCCAAACGAGCTTAAAGCCCGGAACCGGCCAACCGGTCACGATCCGGGCCCGCACAATAGCGGGCCGGTTCGTTTCCAGGCCGGTTCAGCCCGGCCCAGTCCATCCCTAGGCGGGACAGGATCCGGGTCATCAGGCAGGTCGAACCAATTGTTGTGTAGCAGAAAAATATAAAATCAACGGGGTATAAATAGTCTTCTACAAGAAACCCTAATAAAGATCAAATTAATTAAATCCTAATTAGGCCCACTCTAACTCTACCAAGTACTCTACTAATATAAGACCCAAACCAAAACATAACATTAACTGAATAATAATAATTAAATTATAACAACAATCCTAACCCGGCCCACGGAAGTGGGCCCAAGCCCGGTCCCGCCCCATGCTCTTCCCGCTCTCTATCACTCTACCTATCTTCTCCTCTACAAGGGCCTGCCTTTATAACGTTACATCAGGGACCTTGACCTGAGAACCAGCCGACAGCACAGGCTGCGATTTTGGGGTGCATATAAGAAACCACAAAAGGTCAGATTAATCCAGTTGACTGACTATATGCACCATTGCACCCTCCAATTCTAAAGCTGCATGCAAAGGTACCTTCGAATATCTGATCAAAGTTCAAGGCAGAAAGCACATGTTGGGCTAACCTAGGCAGGTTGATTAAAAAATCCCTACTTTGACGCCATGTGCATGGAAACTTGCTATCAGTCTATTACACCCCCTCTCCTTCCTATACATTAATCATTTCACAAGAGGAATGTACATTTTGGAGACATTCACTTGAGGAAACCACATGCTTAAAAGACAACTGCTCTTCATTGCTCAACAGTGAAAACCATTTCCTTAAGCAAATGGTAGCTTGATGCTGACTTTCAAATCCAGGAATTTCAGAATTTTTTTTCACGATCTCTGCAAAGTTGAGAGGAACTACGCCCAGCAAAGCAATGGCAATGGAAAACTGAATCTCATGACCGACTGGTTTAGAATCACACCCACAGAGCAAGGCTGATAACCGATCTCTCAAGTTCTGGATTGTAATATCTTCATATCCATTAGCTGAAACCCCATACCTGTAGAGTGTTTGATAATATATAAATTAATATTCACATGATATGCCAAACAGAATAGAAACATGCTCCCACAGAAAGCATGACAATTACAGAACATATAACACAAGTTTGCAGAAATATCATTTTTCCCATGCATAATGCATTACAGAAAAAAAGGACATCAAACTAATGCTTATAATAAAAACAGGATAGGGAGGAGAGATACTTAGAGGGAGAATCTGAGAGACAGAGATGTACGAAATTCATGGTCATTAGGGGTCTTTGACAATCTATGTGTGAATGGCCAATCCTACAATACTTTAAATTGAAAAAACACTGCCGCAAAAAATTGTAAAGCACCCAAAAACTTGTCCAATTCCACTGTCTAGCCAAGAACAACAATGAAATATAAGCATGTTAAATAGAGAATATCCTCAAACTCTTTGAAATACCTTCCAAGTTGGGCAAGAAGAACCAGAATAGCTGCAGGTACATGCTCCAATGGGCACGATTCCATCATTTTTGACACAGGACGCACAATATTTTCAACAGTCCAATCCCAGCTCTGCAGGAAACATGTGAGTAGTTCCATTACATAAACTAGGAATCAAGGTGATTGTGTTTTGAATGAAATCAGAGTGAGACAAAGCAATGCAGCAAATCCGAAGAGGTAGCAGATTATTAATTACAAATGTACTTTTTTATAAATAAAAATTAACATATTGGATTTCTCATCCAATACACGAAAAGGGTGGATTTTTTTACCCACCCTCATCTGAGCCAAGAACAAGTGGAATTCTCATCGCCCATCATGTACACAGCCAACAAAACCCCAACCACACATGTCAAGTGGACAAAATTGTCTATTTACACTCTTTGAAAAATTGAAGTGCTTTTATTCACCAACTAGAATCATCCTCCAAAAGACAATACTATATTGGAGTGTAAAAGGATTCATATTGCAACAACAATGCAAAAAATCAGAGTGATGGGTTTAAGAAGCATACCATGTAACAAGATACAATTTCAACTAATGCAAGGACATCAGTCAAGAAGCATCCATTGCCATCATCAGCAACGGAGTATGGCGTGTCCGCCTTTCTTGGAGCAGCAGAAATGTCCATATTCTCTGTATCATTCTTTTCTCCAACAATTAAAGGATGGATAACTTTAACCTTTTGCCTTGTACTGGACCAGACACAGTTCTGAAGATTATCTAGGAGCATTGATGTGACGCCATCCATAGAAGATGTGTCGCCATCCATACAAGATGTGCCTTCTGAAAATGGGCAATTGCTGCCTGACCATAATTTAGACAGATCCTCAGCCAAAGATGTGAAGCAGGAACCACAGTCAGGAGGGTTAAGCTTCTCGAGGAACACAATAAGGGATCTTACTACAGCCATTACCAAGCAATACTGTTTGATGCCAAAATACTTGGGCCCACATACATAGGCAAAGATATGGAGAACAGTTAGCACGAATGAAGGGTCCGATTTTAACATCCTCATTGTGTTGAATGATGCTTCACAAATGAAACCAATGTGGTCAACTTCAGCACATAATGAAGCTAACAAAATGCACCCAGCCACTGACAAGTTTATGGAAGCTTCTTGACTAACGAAGCGTACACCATTAGCATTCACAACAAGGTTGATCCTAGAATACTTTGAAGATTTCGAATCAGAACAGACATTACCACACATCAGAACTTCTCTATGCAAGATGAAGTCTTCTAAAAGTGAAAGCAGCTCATACAAATTCCATGATTCATCAAAAGTCATACCATTGTTCACGTCAGAGGGCACTGCATATAGATGTAACGCAGTCATTACAAATTGATCAACACGAAAATGGAAAATATGCAGATAGCAAACACTATACTATCACATGAAGGAAGGATATGACAAGAACCTGTACATATGTGATGAGCAAAAGACGCAATAAGCAGGACCGAGTCCCTATCCCAACCATTGTGGAGATCACTTGTTTCCATTTCTGAAATGTAGTGCAGCAAGACTGACAAGAACACTGATGCTTTTTCCCTGACAGGATCAGTAAAATGGAGGAAATATGAGCAGTTTGTTTCTCCATGTCTATATTTAAGATAATTGAATTAAAGCACCAAACACTCAATCTCAAACAAGGATAATATAGATAGAACAACCTTTGAATCCTCAGTAGGACAATATGCAATGGTATTTAGGCTAAAATGAAAAATCAGCGAGGACGATGAGACGATAGTATAACTTGATTCACACATTAAGGCAGTTCTACCAAAAGCACCACATACTCACTAGGAGGATAAAAGGTAGTATCAAAAGAATATTCATCTACCGCACCAGTGAGGATTCACCTTATTTTTAATGAAGTTCAAGAGGTAACCATGTAACTTGATTTATGAAGATTTCAGTCGAACAACAACAACAACAACATTACCTCAGTGCTGCAAAGGCTCCCACCTACGTCGGTGGGTAAGGGGGGTCGGATGTACACAGCCTTAACCCTGTACTAAAGCACATGGAGACTGTTTCTGGATGACTCATGATGAAAAACGCGTCGAAAATTGCATGGACTTACCCATTGATGATTTATGAAGATTTCAGTAAATGAAAAAAACTTATATAAATAACCATTTATATGATATAGCTACTATAGAGGTTAAGAACATACATGACTGGCGAGAACATAACATGGATAACAAGACTTCTCATTGTAATTTCTAGAGTAAGAAGGACTCAGATGCATGTAACATAGTACATTATTGTCAATATATTAAAACAGAGGAGTAACAAGATCGTGCTACTTACCAGTTACTGAACTGTCATGCAACACTGGGAAACTCTGAAAAAGAGTAAGCGGAAGGAGACTGACAATACAAGAATGTCAGACACGCAATTTTGCTTCATGCCTGGGAGATCGAAAATGAAAACTATACGTTTACTAAGGACACTAATCAAGGACCATTAAAGAAAACGAAAGAATTACCCAGCATTTATTGACTTGGAAAATATATATGCTCGTCCCCAAATTTGGTGCTTCAATCTTAGAACTATATATTGTCTATTGTTCAAATCTATACTTGTTATTTTGTGTCCATAAATGGGCCGTCCATCGTCAAGGCAAACTGGGTTATCACCATGGTTGTTGCCATACACCATGACAACTGTGTAAGGTCCAACTGAATGGAGAATATAATACAGACATTGAGCGTAGAATAAAAGCAAGAAACACAAAATAAGGGAACGCATAGCGAATCTTGTGTGATCGGAAGGTAACACTTATGACAAAAGGGAAGTTCTATATTATAGCTATTAGACATTATATATAAGTATATAACGTGGCCAGGACTGTTGGGCGGTTAAATATCAACACGTTCACATAATTTTGGAGGCAGAGATGACAGTGTTGATATGATTATATGAGTGAGTTAAACTAGGAAGTACAGAATTAGTAATGAGGCAACAAGATAAGAGAGGAAGTAGGGAAAACCCCAATAGGAGGAAGTGACAAGAAAGAGCCACTTAGGATGGTTTGGCCGTGTTCTGAGTCCGAAGGCCACACAAATTAGAATATTTTGAAGGCATAAAACACAACTTGAGAGGAGTATAGGAAGCCCTAAATGACTTGGTAAGAACCCATGAAAAGTAACCTCATCAGTATGGAGCTTACAGAGGAGATAGAACTCAACCTAAATAAATTGTGTCGCTTGATGCCTCCTTAATCTATAACTTGACCGCATTTAGTGGGATGTTCTTAATTTAGTTTCGTTCAATAGCCTTCCTATTAAACAACTATTACAATGTTATGGCTTACTCATGTAGAACATCATAACTAATTAACTACTCCATATAACTTGGCCAGTATTTAATAAGAAGCACCTAAAGGAGAGACATCCAGCAGAACAGAGATATGACTCATAATCCATCATTCCAGCACAATCTATATCAGATGTACAAAATATTAACCAGGTGCACCTGTGAGTGCTACAGAAAAAGTTATAAACATATCCCTGATATTAACTTACTTAGTAAGTATTAAGTTTCCAAGACATTCAAACCCCACAACTTCAATGCAAACCTTGCACTCCTAGCAGAGAATAACGAAATAAACATATCGAGAATGGATGGTTACCACTATCCCTAGAGAAGGTCAACTTCATAGAGCATACACAAAGCATAGGCATATCACATCAATAACAGCAGAACCTTTGATAATGAAAAGCAACAAAATAATTTTTAAAAGGGTAATGCATGCATGGATGAAAGATACAAAGTGTAAATGGCTTACTTGGCTGAAAGATCTTGAGCACCTGAAATGAAAACGACAATGTTCCTAAGATACAGATTTGATGCTGAAACTGTTGAACACTGAGTCATGAAGTTTTTGGTTGCCAAGTATACTGTGGAAATGCTTTCCACTTTGTCATTATCATAAAACACAACACAACACTTTGGTATACCATGACATGGGGGTGGGTCAATGCTACCACTTGAAACCTTTGAACTCTCATTAGGACAAGCTAATACATCAACTGTACTCATTGGTTCACTGACAGAATTAGATATATGCGCCTGCAAAATTTTAGGGCAATCAATTCCATTACCATTTATGTAGTAGCTAGATGTATCAGCATGATCACTAATCTCTGGTGACAATGATTTTTTCGAATTCCCTATGGTACCATGTGTTGCCTTATTTGAGTTGATTTCTAAATCAAGGACATCAAAGTGCTCCAGTGGAGAAAGGCTCCCCTTCATATGTAAAAGTTCCCCGAGAGAATTATTATTATCTAATAAGAGGTGAGAGTTACTTGATACACGTGCATTGCTTTCACACTTGATCTCTGGAAGTTCAGGTGACAAAGGCATTTGGAGTGCCAAACGATAAGATTCTTCATCTACACCATTATCCAAATCAAGCAGTTTCATGTAGTCATCTCCAACCAGTAACTCAAAATCTCCAAGTGTATCACTCCTATCCTTTCCGTTATCAGCAGTTCCACTGTGATGATCAACAGGTGGGATGGAATTTGCAAGGATACTAGACTCTTGTATACCCAACACTTTGAGGTTTGCCTTTACCCTATCGGCATCATTCACATGACACTTCCGAAGTTTTTCAGAAGAAGCCTTTCTTTTCTTATGAGATCTATCATCAAAAGTTCCAATACCGTCTTCCACACGAGGAAGCAAGCACGCTTTAGTGCTTCCAGATTTATCAATTTGATTTTCTGACACAGAATGCAGAAAAAGTACCTGTTTCTGTTGCGACTCATTCTTAGACTGCAAACTGCAAATAGCATCAATAGACCTCTTCCTTTTCTTATGACGCCGACTGCTCCTCTTGGTATATGTATCAATAACAGGACTTTTGACACCACTTTCCACAATTGTTGCAAGATTCTCATTGCATTTCTCTTTTGGGTTGGATTTATTTTCAGCAAACTTATCTGATCTGGTGCCAGAAGAATGTCTTTCCTGTGAGCCGACCAATGGTCTATCAGAAAAAGATGTCGAACAGGAATTTATGGCAGAACTCTGTAACACTTTTTTGTTAACGCCTTTAAGCAAAGGCTCCAATTCAGAATTAATACCTGAAACGCTTCTAGTGCCATTTACTCCAGATAGAGCAAGCACAGGTGCAATGCCTTCATCTACATTTTCCCTGAATGAATCAGTTTCATCAGCAGCAGCCATTAGAGCAAACCCATCTTTGAGATGAGAATGCATCTGATATGATTCAATACCGAATTGTTGATTTTTCAGTTCTTCCTGCAAAGTAAAAAATCATCAAGACAAGGCCATTAGATTTTTTTTAAATGATTGCAAACTCTTTTCAACACAACAAAAAACACGCTATGGATAGTACTTCTAACAGCTTACTTACTAGTCTTTTTTGGTAGCCAACAAAAGCATCTTTTTTTAAAGGCAAAATACTAGTCTAGTGATTTGCTAATTCAAATAGCCATCAATGGGAACTTTAGTACACAGTACAATAGTACAGCCTACTACCTAAGAGGAATGACAAATAATCATTTCCATTCGAAAAACATCTTTTCCATAGCAGCGTGCATAAAAAACAAACCTTTTCTAGATCATGAATAGCTTCATCAGAGCAAATGAAATAATCATCCAATAAATTCAGGCGCTTTGAAAACTGAGAAATATCTTGTTTTAAGTGCAATAGTTCTTCTTTTAGTATGCCATTACGAGCTTTTTCAAGCTCTGCGGCTCCTTTTGAGTGCTTTACCAACATCTTTTCCAACTTCAGTTGCTTCTCCAAGAAACTGATTTTAGCACTTTGACATTTCAAACTTCTATCATGTGAATGAAGAGCAGATTCAGCAATTGATCTGGAGGAAACAAGGGAATTGATTTCCTTTTGTAGCTCTCCTAACCTTTTCTTGTAATCCTTTAAGTCACATGATAACTGGTCTGCACGATGCTTTTCCTTTGATGCCTTTTTCTTGTATGCCTCGAGAACTTTTTTCTGATCTTCTAGCTGCTTTACTATCTCTAGATGGGCAAGTTTTTCTGCTGCTTCTCTCTTCTTATCAGATACGTTATCAATTAATATCCTAGACGACTTAAGTTCAACTATCTCCTTCTTAAGAATCTCAATTCTTTGGTTATACTGGTCCAGCTGCAGTGATAAATCGTCAGCACGACGTTTTTCATCCATTGCCATTTTCAAGTTTGTATCAGCAAGCTTTGTTTGCTCTGCAGCTTTCAAGATAGATGAGTCTGCCCGTTTTCTATCTTTCTTTCTGTTTTGCATTTCTGTGTCCAATTTCTTCTTCATCTCTGCTGCTTTTGACGTCTCCAACGCCAGCTTCATTTTAACTTCATCAGCATCCGTCATCGCAGCCTCCAGCTTGAGCCTATTTTCTTCAGCCTCTTTTCTGTCACTTTCAACTAGCCTCCTTTCTTCATCGGCCTTAGTTTTCTCAATTTTCAACTTTTTCCTTAACTCGTCAGCTTTTTTCCTCTCTGCATTGGCATTCTTTTTCTCCGAATCTGCTCTGAGTCTCTCGTTCTCAAGAAGCTCCTTCAGTCGGCTAACTTCTGCATCCTTTTCTGAAAGAAACCCCTGAAGTTGTACCTTTTCTCTTTCCAAATCTTCACTGACAGGACCCGGATTTTGCTGCAACAAAAGAACATTGGTCTTTAGAGCATCCACTTCACTCTCCAAGGAAGCTCGCAGAGCAGATTCTTTTTCTCTGCCATTTCTTTCATTTTCTGCCTGTTTTTTCTCGCTCTCATAAGCTGAAATAAACAGAAAGCTATTAAAGAAGCTGATGAATAAATATTAGTAAAAGATAAGAGCACAAAGTTTTAACAATTACTCCACATGAATATAACACAATATTTCAGTGAAAAATTTTTTCCTTTTGAGTGTCTATCAAGGATTAAACCATGAACAAACTGGACAGATTTATTACTTTATTCGGACACTAGAAAACTGAAAAATGAATTCAGTTGAGTCACATACCCTTCTTCAAAGTGAGATTCTCAGAGTGCATCTTGGAAACCTGCAGCTCATAGATTGACACCCCCTTGCGAAGAGCATTGCGGCCTTCTTCGAGCTTAGAATACCTCTCTTTCAACTTGGCGTACTTTTCCTTCCACTGCAAATGCCCAAATCGATAAATTGCATATTCTGTTCTATAAAACTAGGGCAAAAATAATTAAGAAAACGAAACAAACAAACATACAGCAGTGCAACATGAGTTGGAAAGCTCTCCTTTAGCCATGACATCCTCCTCCATCATATCCGCTTCAACCCGCTACTAGAGAAATAATCAAATAATTGGCCTAAAGCCCTAAACCCTAATCTTGGGATTTTATTTTAATTCAATACTCCGTATTATTTTGTACTCCTTTCTTGCTTTCCTATTATAGTTTTCAACTTTCCTTTTTCGTTCATTCCAATTAAAGCTTCCATTTTTCTTTTTTGGTAAAGAATTTGTGTTTCACAACATTCCTTACACATTTCTCTCTACTCTGCAACTCTCTATCACACAATACTCACTATCTTAAATTGTGTGTCAAACCTATTTGGAAGTTATAACGCGAACGGAGTTAGTATCATTATATGATGCCAAAGGAAAACGTATGGAATTATTCGTTTGTGTCCATGTTGATCGAACCGCCAGGTCCGCCATTACAACTTACAACCTCGCAAATCATGCACTATTGGATCCGACGATAGAGCATGCTATCATGGAAAAGAATAAAAAACCGAACTTTGTTTTCACTGTTCCGAGTAACTACACGGTTCCTACTTCGTATACTATACCCCGGTTTTATACTTGTATATTTATAATTAGGGTGGGAATATTGGTTTAGTTTAACCGAATTGAATCGTACCAAACCGAACTAAACCGAACTGAAATCAGATCATTTGTAATTTGATTTGAGTTTAGTGGTATTTCTCTCAAACCATGTTAAACTGAATCAAATCAAAACCGATAAAATCCCAACAAAATCGAACTAAAGAAATTCAATTAAACCTTCGTACTCCCTCCGTCACATTGGATTTTGCCAACTTTACTTTTTTACTTGTCTCAAAAAAGTTTGTGGGACCCTCAACAAAATAAATCACTTAATTTTTAAAATCTTTATAACTTTTTCATTAGTTTTCCATTGTTTATAAAAACATATATCAAAACTCATAATTTTTAATTATCTTTCATGTGACACCAATATCACACATATAAAAAAAATTAAAAAGTTTGAAGTGTTGGAGTTTTTGGACCCAATTTTTTTCTTAAATAGATCAAAGTACTAAAATTCAGATCACGTGATTTTTTACACTTATTCACTCACGACAATATTTGTAAATTAAATCCTTACGATTATTATTAGGGAAAATAGTCAGATAGACCTTCGAACTTACATAAAAGGACCAAGAAGCCCTTATATAAGAGGCTCTGTCCAGCCGTCGCCATTTGGGGTGGTTCCCGGTGGAAATTTTTGATGACATTTTTTGAGACTCTTATTCATTAAGTCTAGTTTACTCATACCAAATTTCAGCTAAATATTCAATCGGGAAGGCATTCAAATGAATCCTTGAAGATAACTGCGCAGTTAAAAGCCCAGTTATCTTAAGGAATTCATTTGAATGTCTTTCCGATTGAATTGTGAGCTTGAATTTGGTATTAGTAAACCAGACTTAATGAATAAGATTCTCAAAAAATTCCACCGGGAACTGCCCCAAATTGTGATGGCCGGACAGATCTTCCTATATAAGGGCTTATTTGACTTTTTTATGTAAGTTTGAGGGCCTATTAGACCCTTTTCCCTTATTATTATAATCAATTTTATTCTTTTTACGAATTATTATGATTTAAAAATTCAAAATTTCCCAATGTAAATCAAATAAATTTGTTGTTTAGTTTTTTTATTATTACTCCAAGCCTATTTTTGAAAAAGAATAATTAAAAGATGTAAAAACATTAATCGTGAGATCTTGATTTTATCACTTCAATCTCAATTTTATCACTCAAATCTACTTGAGAAATTTCAAATCCTAGAAGTTTTTTTTTCTTTATATGTACAATATTGGTTTCATATGAAATGTTATAAAAAGTTAAGATTTTTAATATATTTTTTTGTAAACAATGAAAAACAAGTGAAAAGGTTATTAAGCTTCAAAAAAAAAAGAAATTATTTAGAGTGAGGCAAATTAATTTCTAAAACTTACACTTTTTGGAATGGAAGGTAAGAAACATGCTCTTATTTGTCAAACACCCACGTATGGAATTATTCGTTTGTGTCCATGTTGATCGAACCACCAGGTCCGCCATTACAACTTACAACCTCGCAAATCATGCACTATTGGATCCGACGATAGAGCATGCTATCATGGAAAAGAATAAAAAACCGAACTTTGTTTTCACTATTCCGAGTAACTACACGGTTCCTACTTCGTATATTATACCCCGGTTTTATACTTGTATATTTATAATTAGGGTGGGAATATTGGTTTAGTTTAACCGAATTGAATCGTACCAAACCGAACTAAACCGAACCGAAATCAGATCATTTGTAATTTGATTTGAATTTAGTGGTATTTCTCTCAAACCATGTTAAACTGAATCGAATCGAAACCGATAAAATCCCAACAAGATCGAACTAAAGAAATTCAATTAAACCTTCATACTCCCTCCGTCACATTGGACTTTGACAACTTTCCTTTTTTGGTTGTCTTAAAAAACTTTGTCATTTTCCTATTAAAACAATTATTTTGTAGTTCTGCACATTTCTCTCTCTTCTGCACAAATATAATCACACAGTTTTTACTATTCTTATTTCTCACCTACTTTGCACTTGCCAAAGTCCACCGGAACGGAGGTAGTATATTTTTTATTGGTACTAATTCTCTCAACTCGTTCCAAACCGAAACCGATCAAAATCGAACTGAAAAAAGATATGCCCACCCATATTTACAACATTTTTTTGTAATCTGTTTTATCTTTAGGTCTGTTTCATATTTGACTCTTCCAAAAAATCCTTTTTAACAGATCGTATGAACGTACACTTGCTTCACCCTTAAGTTCCCAATTCTCATTGTTTATTTCATTCTTTTATATTTATATTCTTGAGTCTAATTGATAAGAGTATTTAAAATTGACTCTCGTGAACTCAAAAAAAAATAGATGACTATTTGAATAAAAAAAGACATTTTCCTCGAGGACTGCAGTTTTTTTAAAATTGATTTATTACCAATTGTTCGAAAAAATTACAAAGTGAGTTTTAGCCTCTTTCTTGATCGAATATTTGACTATTTGATGCTTTTTTTTTACTCCAGGGGGTCTGAGGGAGGGGGACTGGGGGTCTGGAGTAATCAGGGCTGAAACTCACTCCATTGAGTTTCAAACCCTTGTGTGCCTAGTGAGTTTCGAACTTGAAACCTCCCACTAGGCACGGTAACCTCACAACCAGCTGGGCTGGAATGCTTGGTTTTTTGACTATCTGATGCACTTGTGTGTGTGTGTGTGTGTGTGTGTGTGTGTGTATATATATATATATATATATAGATATATATATATATAATGTTGATATATGTATGATTTTGTTTCTTGAAAATTCTTGTGACTAGATTCTCTAATTCTTTTCTAATTTTATAGTTTGAGTTTGATGTTTAAAGAAATTTGTAAAATGATTGGAATATGCTTTCCAGTGATATTATGATAAATCAGAAAATATAGCTAATTTTATTAATTTGAATGATAATATGTTCATTCCATTCAATAACAACATTCGAGCCTTAATCTCAAAAGATAGGCATGACAATTGAGAAGTTGTTACCCATTGAATCTACATAAAGTTTATCTTTAAATAATTATTAAAAATTAATATATTAAATCAAATTCACGATACGCTAGAAATTTCAAAAGTTAATGAAAAATCACTTAGACTTGAATAGTTAATCTATTTAATTATATTAATACTTGAATATATGTATTAAAATGCTATATATAAAGAAGACATTGATAATCTGTCGTTCATCTCAATCTAATATATATATATATATATATATATATATATATATATGGGGGAGGGTTCTAGTGAGAACTCTCTTAAAATGAGAACCCCAAGGAATCGGTGGTATTTTTGGCTAAAATTTTTTGTGCATGTTCCTCATCAAGTCTAATTGATCCATACCAAATTTGAGCAAAACATTCAATCGGGAAGGTCGTCGAATGATTTTTGAAAGAAAATTGTGTTATATATATATATATATATTGGTTCAAGTGAGAATAAGATCTAAGGAGAGAAGTGAGAAAGAATAACAACCCTTAGATTAGATTTTTAATTTGTTTCTTGGGACTATTCGTTGATGCTGTTTTTGTCTTTTTAATTTTCTTTCCATGCTTATCATCCCACTCTCGGAATATTGCAACCGTGATATCTACCATTCAACCGTCTCCTTCCTTTTCTTTCTTCTTCTAATTTTGGTTTCTTTTTCTCATCATCTTTCCATGGAAATTAATTAGCTAGAAATAAAGCTTCATCTCTTTTTCTCTCTCTTTATTACAAAACGGCATAACTGGTGAAGGGATGAGGTAAAACACATGTGCCACATGACATACACTAGTGTAGAAAACACTTTCTATATGGGTTAAAAAGCACTTTTTATGTCGGTTCCCGTAATGACATAGTAGCCAGCGATATAGAAAGTCAGGCACTTTTCGTGTCGGGTAGTCGTACCCCTTATAGAATGGTTTTTATAACGGTTACGAATTTAACCGTTATAGAGTGTTTTCCGTGTCAGTCCAGTAATACCCCATATAAAATCCTTTTTGTATGGGTTAAATCACCAACCGTTATAGAAAGTCGATTTTTTTTTAAATAAAAGCATTTACAGATTTACTGTCACTTATCTATATATGTGTGTGTGTGATTTTATATTTTAAAATGTAATAATTTTATTAAAAAAGCTTTTCCTTTTAGCTTTATATATACAACTAGCACCGGCACGCGCGTTGCGAGAGGTTGATGCCCAATGGAAGCAAAAAGTTCAATGCAAAGAACGCCAAAATAATAAGAAACATGAACACAACAAAGTTAGAGCTGGAGAATATTATAACAAAAAGTACAACGCTAAATGTTCATAAAAAAGTAGGCATAAAAACTGTTGAGCCAATTAAGGAAGTATTCATAAAAACTGTTGAGCCATAAAAATTGTTCTTGAGGAACACTAAGTTATCGCTATGTATCTAAAAATCCTCTTCAACCTGCTGCAAGAATTTCTTGCGTCCCGTAATGAATTTCCACTGCACGTTTCACACTGCTGAGCCAATTAAGAAAGTCTCAACTTTCACTGTTTTGAATGTT